TTCAAGCAGCTCCTGCAGGGTGACAGACTTGGGCCCGGGGAGGTGGACGGAGCCGTTGTCTTTGGGAGCCACCAGTGGCACCAGGATGAGCTCGTCCAGGGGGTCGGGGTGCCCGTTCTGCTGCGGCAGGAACCGGCAGTTCCAGCTCAGAGGGTCCAGTTTGAGGGACCCCCCCAGGTACTCGGGGAGGCACTCCCGGGGCAGGTGCTCCTTCAGCTCTGACATCTTCACCATCTGCACCTGCAGGAGGAAGAGGAAGAAGAGCAGGGGTGACTTCCCAGAAGGATGGAGAGGGTTTGCTGGGCATGGGGACAGGGATGCCAACAGCCTGGCATGGTCCTGATGGAGCCTGGAGCTTTCCTCCCACAGCACTGGGCTCTTCTCCCTGCCCTGGGAGGGCACTGAGGAGGAGAATGGTGGGTCAGGGGCTGCCCCCAGCACGAACCCCACGGCAGCCCACATCAACACTCAGCTCTAAATTTGCAAGTGGCTCCAAGCTCCTCTCAAAAGCAAAAGGGACACAGCCCAGGCCAGGGAGACATGGGGTGGAAAAGGGCTCTGCCAGCAGCACTGCTGGTGCTGAGCACACTGGTTTAGGTATTCTGGGCTTTGCCAGACAGGGCCTGAGCACAGGGGTTTGAGTTTCTCTTCTCTCCTGCCTGCTCAGAAGAGGTTTCCATTCCCTTGAATCATCTACCATCACCTCCTCTTGCAGCTGCTGGCAGCCCCACTGCAGAGGAAGGGGATTTCAGAAGGGGTTTAAGATGAAAAATACCAGACGGGCCGACCCCTCTGCAACAGGCTGAGAAAGCCCTCGAGTTCCCAAGGACTTGGGACTCAGCAGCTTCCAGCAGCTGGGGCTGAGGGGCACAAGCTGCCTCCACCATCCTGTCCCAGAGGGAAAACAGCCCCCCCAAGCCCTCCCTGCTGAGGGTCCCGTGCCAGGGGGGCACCCGCGCTCACCCTCTCCCGCAGCTTCTCCTTCAGCAGCAGGCTGATGATGGAGTAGGGCACACGGAACCACATGGGTGCTCCCACGATGAAAACCTTCTTGAGCCGAGCTGGGAAAGCACCCTGTGGGAAGGAGGCCTCAGATCCATGCTCCTGGGGTGCGTGGGGAGGGAACCAGCCCCTGTGCTGGAGGAGGGGGGGGACACGTCCCAGCAGAGGTGACAACCAGCAAAGGGACCCCGAGGTGGCAATGCCACATCCACAGTGTGCTTCTCACCCAGCCACGCTGCCTTTTTATACTCCAGTATGGAAACTACTGATTTCCTTGGAATTAGGCAGGCAGAGGGTTTGGCTCTGCGGGGGAGAGGTGAAGCCTGGGTCCTGGGATTGGAGCAGAGAACACACCCTGGCCAAAATTTACTGTTATTTCTTTTTCCAGGGAAGGGAGGAGGCACCAAATGCCAGCACGATTTTAAAAAAACCCAACAATTTGCATCTGTTTTCCCAGCAGCTGTCAAAGGAATCTGGGATGGGGATGGGGACAGCTGATCCTCTCCCACCCATGGGGCAACACAGCCCTGGCTGGGTCCAGCACAGCAGGCTCCCAACACCTTCCCAGGGCCCTTGGCTGGGATGTGGTCAGCATGGTCTGGTGTGAAAAATTACACACAAAACCACAGGATTTCATGGAGTTGGTGAGTGAGTGGCCTGTGTGACATGGCCGGGCACCAGGTCACCCCCAGCCAGTTACCTTCAGCAGGTTGAGGATCTTCTTGCTGAGGTCCAGCTCAAAGTTGGTGTACTGGGAGCCTGCCATGTCGTAGATGAACACCAGCCCATTCCTCTGGGTTTCAAAGCTGAGAGGGGAAAGAGCAACATCCACGCTGTGCAACATCCAACGCCTCAGCTCCTGCAGGAGCAAACCTGCCCCACGCTCACCTCACCTTGCTGGTCCCAAAAAAACCCCTCCTGTGCTTCCAGGACCCAAAGCTCACTTCTGCATTTCCCAGCTGCTCCACCACCTCTCCCTACAACCCTTAGTTAAGCCTGGCTCGGGTCTTGGTCCTGCCTCAGCTGCACCACCTGCGACGGGTGAGTTCAGAGAGGGAAAAAAAAAAAGAAGGGGAGGTCCCAGCTTTGTATTTTTGGCGGGGTTCACTTTACTCCTGCCTCCTCCCCAGCTGAAGCCTGCAGGGATCAGGGGCTTTGCTAAACTGAAACCAGGACGTGGGCAGGGAAAGGCTGTGAAGAGCCCAGTCCAGGGCTCAGGGGATTTGTTTCCCCTGCTGAGAACACAGGGACAACTGGCTCCAGTTCCCACAGGGGGTTTCAAGCCCCAGGGAGCTGTGATCCCTTCTCTCCCCTAACTCCAGCTGGGACACCAGGGGGCACAGAGACAGACCCCGCCACAATTTCACCTCCAGGAATTCACATTTCCCTGTGAAGCTTTTCAGAGGGACTTCACCAAAACCGCAGCAGGCAGCAACCACGTCCCCTCGCCCCTGGGAGAGGGAAGGGGCAGCCCGGGGGACCCAGCTGGACAGGGTACCTCAGCAGAGGCAGGCTCACCTCTCCACCGCTCGGTCCAGCAGGTAGAAGAGGGCCTGGAGCACCACGTGCTGCACACTCTTGCTGGGGTGATGCAGCTTGGCTGTGAACAGGGCGATGGAGGCTCCCGAGGGGTCCCGCACACTCTGGTGAGAGAACAGGGTCAGGCTCCCACGACCCCTGAGAACACCCACCCAGAGCAGAGCTGGGACAAGCCACCTGGTTGGGATAACCCAGGGACACACACCCCCCCCCCCCCACACCCCCCACACACCTACCAGAATGGTGAACTTGCCACTGAGCAGCTCCGAGCGCAGCGGCTCCTCGTGAGGCTTCAGCTTCACAATGCCCTCCTTCAGCCGTGTCTCCTGTGCACAGGGAGCTGGTGGGATGGCCAGCACGGGCACCCCAGCCCTCCACCCACCATCATGTCCCCGAGGGGCGTCACAGAACAGAATCATAAAAACGTTTTGGTTGGAAAAGACCTTGAAGATCATCAAGTCCAACCATTAACCCAACTCTGCCAAGCCCACTGCTAACACACATCCCTAAGAACTGGATCTACATGGCTTTTAAAGCCAAGCAGGGAAGGGGACTCCACCACTTCCCTGGGCAGCCAGTGCCAAGTGCTTGACAACCCTTTTAGTGAAGAAACTTCTCCTAATATCCAGACTGAACCTCCCTTGGTACAACCTGAGGCTGTTTCCCCTCCTCCAAACGCTTGTTACTTGTGAGAAGAGACCTGCCCTTCCCTCTTCACGACCTCCTTTCAGGTGCTTGTTCAGACCAATAAGGTCTCCCCTCCTTCTCTCCTAAACAGCCTAAACAGCCCCAGCTCCCTCAGCTCCTCATCATCATCCCTTTCATCAGCTTCATGTCCATATGGGGCCCCAGCCCTCCAAGGGAAGCCCCAGTGGGAAAACCTCTGCTCCACAGCCCCATTTCCCAGCAGGGGGTTCCAGGCCAGGTATATATGCATTTCTAGACAGGGAGATGCTCTGCAGACACCCCAGGGCAGCCAGGAGGGCACACACACTGCTCTCAGCAAAGAGGCTGGGGGGGGATTGGGGTCAGTGAGATCTCCATGGTGACTCGTCTGGGCTGAAAAAAGGATTTTCCAGCTGGATAAAAACCCATGAGGGAGGTGGTGGGGGAGGAAAAACCCAACCAAACCAGCAAGGGGAGGGTCTTCCCTGGGACCAGAGATCTCTCCCAGAGGGATGGGGGAGGGACCTGGCCCCACTCACTTACCCGGTAGGAGTGGAAGAGCTCAATGGCCCGTAGGACATCGAACTTACGGGCCATGAGGAACTTGACAGCCACGTTCCAGGAGAGCGGGGACACATTGTACTGCCCCGTCCACTTGTTGATCTCCTCCAGGAACTGCTTGGTTGCCTGCGGGAGAGACAAGGGGTGTGCAGTGAGATGGGGAGGAGGGGGAGCTCCACAGTGCTCAGCGCACGGGCAGGGCAGGTCTCAGCAAACCCAGCGGCTCCTCGGGGTGAAGCTCCACAGCAGTCCTGAGAAAGGACACTACAGGACATGGCCCAGTTCACCCAGTGAGGCCAGTTTCACCGGGCTGCAGAGGACCAGGCAAGAAGGGCTCAGTCCAGGAGCATCCCAGGATGCTTCCACTGCTTCCCAGAGTTCCGGAACATGCTGGGCACACCCCACCTGAGAGCACTCCCCTCCCAAAGCACCAGCACCACACGCACCCAAAACCATGAGAAACCAAGGAGGAAACTTTTTCAACTCTAGTGCTGCTGGAAAAGAGTCACGAAAGCCAACCTGCCAGCTCCCAGCAGGCTTAAAGCCCTGAAGGTGAGCAAATAAACCCCCAAAATGTTCTATTTTGACAAACTGTGTGGGCTCGGGGGCTTCTGAATGCCTGTGCTATGGGAAGCAGCTTTGCTTTCTGCTGTCCCACAGACACCTCGAGGGGCATGATCCCACCTTACACAAAGGCTGCAGGCAAGGATGGAGCAGGTCCCCAAGAAACCCCACCCAGGCACAGCCTCCAATGGGGGTTTTCCACCCTCAGGAGAGCAGAGGAGGGCGCTGAGAGCAGGAGGAGGGGGTGAGCACCCGGTTTCCAAGCAGGCAGTGGTGTGGGATGTCTCGGCGGAGCTGCAGGGAGCTCTTCAGCCAGCAGAGCTTGGAGGCCTTAATGACTTCCGAGGGAGGAAGCCAAGGGCCCGGGTTTATCGGCGGCGCGAGGCTCGGCGGGGCCACCAGCCCCTCTCGTGGGACCAGCTGAAGGAGCCTGGCTTGTCCCAGGGGTGCCCGGGCAGCCCGCCTGGCTGGGCACACGGTGGCTTTGGGGGGGGCACCCGGCCGGTGGGAGG